TGAGTGTATGGTGACTTATCCTTGCTCCAGGCAAGCAGGCGTGACTTTGTGGTAACTCATCCCTGCTCCATATTGTGACCGGTGGCTCAGTATGCCACTTTTCCCTCTAGGCTGCTGTGTCTAGATGCTTCTGCCCTGGTGAGGCCCAGAGCCACAGATTTCCAGCCCACAGGGAGCAGTCTACACAGGGCTGGCTGAGCCTGTCCAGTCTCAGGGCCTTGTATGTGGGGTGTGCTACGTGGCTAGCAGGGGTCAGAAGGAGAGCAGGCCTAAGCAAGAGGTCATTCAGGGGCCAGCTCCAGGCCGTGCACACATGCCCTGTCCCGTCTGTGCAATGCATAATGATTTGGGGGCCTTCCCTGCACAGAGCAGGACTGGGCAGGACGGTGGGGGACGGGGGTCAGAATCCTAGGGATCTTAGGGGCAACCTGGAGGAGGTAGCCTGTGACGAGTGCTGGGGACAGTGGGGATTCCCTGAAGGAGACCTAGGGACCGCATGTGCTTGGGTCTGGAGACCAGAGAATTCCGGGCCAGCCCTCAGCCACTCTCCTCGTCTGCCTCTGCTCGGGGGACCCGGCCCTGACTGGGGACGGAGACCTGTGGGTCCCTGTAGGCCCAGTGGCCTCAGACCTGGCCCGTCTGATTTGGGACAGGAGGCTTCTGTTCCACAGGAGTTTCGGGAGTGGGTGTGCGTGGGGGGTGTGGGGAATGGGGCTGGGCAGCCCCCTAAGCACCCACCGCCTACAGCTCTGAACTGCAGGACCTGCGGAAGGATGGGGTGGTCCAGGCTGAGGGGCAGGAGCCCCAGGACCTGGGAGGGGTGGGTTGGCCTGTGGCCACCCCACGACCGGAGCGCAGGCCAGAGCAAGCATCTCCCTCGCCACGTCCACCACGGATGGAAAATCCCAGGTGCTCAGAGCCCAGGTGCTGATCAAGCGTTCCCATGATGGTCCTGAGTGGGCTGTGGACCGGCACCGGGCCACCCCGCAGCCCAGAAGTGTGTCTTTTAGGGATCTGGCCTGAGAGAGTGGGCTGAGGTCACGCCCCGACAGCTGGCCCGGCCTTGTGCACACCAGCCGGGGACAGGTCCCCTAGTCTGCAGGGGTGTGCTGGACCCCTGGGTCCCTGTGCTGACTTGCCTTGGTATTACCGAGGGGTGCTGTCCTTTTCCTCCTGAGAAGCTGAATGGGGCTGACAGTTGAGCAGGTCCTGCCAGGGAGAGCACTGCCCAGCCTCTCGGAGTTGGAGGGTAGGGGCCTCAGTTTACCTGCAGCGAGGCTGAGCCCCTCCTGTGTGCGGGCTCTGTGCAGAGCAGAGTCCTAGGGGTAGAGACGAGGTCAGCAAGGCCCTGTGTCTCTCTGGCCTGCTGCAACGGTGGGCAGCACCACCCCTGCCCAAATCACAGAGCTCAGTGCAGCCTTCCCAGTGCCCCGTCCAGAACGGGCAGTCCTAGGAGGTGAGGGTGGAAATGGGGTCTCCAGCCTCACAATCAGAGACCGGATTCCTGGAGCAGACCAGACCATGGTGGGAGGAGAAGAAGGGTACCAGTGTGAATACCTGGCAGCCACAAGGGCACCTGGTCACCGCCTCCAGGGCTTGAGTGACTCTGGTGTCCTTGGGTGGCCCCCCTGAGTCCCAGGACACATTTTGGTTTTTTGTTTTGTTTTGTTTCTGGAGACAGTCTCACCATGTAGCCCGGGCTTCTCTTGAACTCACGATCCTCCTGCCTCCACCTCCTTAGTGCCGGGATTACAGGCATGTACCACTGTGCCTGGCACCCGGGACACAGTCTCATCCTCAAGGCCTGAGGTTTCTTGGGGCTGGTCCTGGCCTGGCCTCACCCTTAACCAAACTGGGAGTGCCTTGTCCCTTTCCCACCGGCCTGCTGTAGGCAGCAAGTGTCCCAATTGACATCGAGGGGCTTGGAGCCCCAGGAGCACAGGGCCACACCTCCTCCCCCCGTAGTAGAAACCTGGGCCCACACGTGGTATAAACGGTCACGTGTGGGAGGGGATTCACACTGGCATCCCGGCGTGAGCAGCTGTGGGTCCCCTCCCCTTCCTGGCTCAGAGCTGTGGAGCTGGGCCTGGAGGCAGCCCTGGCCTCATGGGGGCAGGTGGCTTTTTCTGGGGTCCCCCACGCAGGCTCCGCCTGAAAGCACTGCTCGAGGCCTGTATTCCCATTGGCTCCTTCGCCCTCCCAGTGGCTCCTGGAGAGAGCCATTGCTGGCCATTGCTGGCCGTGCTCACACACCAACCCTGGCTGTGTTCACAGTACGCCGCCTGCTGGTCCTGGCCCTGGTCCAGCCTTCTTCTGGCAAGCCCCATCGTTCACTTACGGTTCACCATCAGTTGGATCCCTGTGTGTGCCTGGCACCTGGTGGCCTGTAGGGACTGGCTGGCCTCGTCCCAATGCCGGATGGCCTCTAGTGTGTCTTACGTTATGGGGCCTGTTTTCTTGTCTGTCAAGTGGGGGTGTGTGTTTCTGGCATCACTGAGGAGGAAGGCCAGGCCTGCAAGCTCGTAGATGTGTGCTGTGACTGAGCACCGAGTGAATAGACCAGCCCTAGAGGCTGCCTGCCGCGTGTCTGAGGTCAGCCCCTTCCTCTTCCTGATCCCCAGTGTCCTCACCCCTGGACGTGTGTCCCCGAGGGATGTGTGCTCGAGGTGAGGGATGGAGCTCTGACACCCCTACCAGAGCTGCATCACCCATTGAGCAGATATGGGTGCAGGGGAGTGAGGGCCATGCCAGCCAGGGCCTGGGAGGGCTGACCAGAGGGGGCCGGCCGGCCAGTGCTGGGCCAAGACAGGGCTGGGTGACATGGGTTCCAGAGCCGTGGGGACCTCTGGGGTGGCCCTGCTTATGGAAGTGCAGGTGTCCGTGTCCCCAAGATTGGCCAGTTGCCTTCACAGGCCTGCCTGTCTTTACCTCGAACCTATAAGGAAGGAAACTGTAGGACCTGTGAGCACAGCTGGTGGGATTGGCACCTCTGGTTCGTGCCCAGCTGTGAGTAGGTGAGGGTGGATCCAGGAAGCCCAGTTCGACTCCCTGATGTTTACTGATGGCCACTGTATAGGGCTGGTGCTAGGGCACAGAGACTGTTAAGGCCCCTGGGACTGGCGACTGGCCTCTGGCCCACACACAATGCCCAATTCCACTGGGGCCACCTGCTGTGGCCAGCTTGTCGCTGCCTCCCCATGCGCTCCTAGGCTGTGCAGCCCCTCCTGACCTGAGCACCTAGGGCCCAAGGGAGCCCCGGCTTTGGAAGGTGGCTCTGGGGCCAGTCCTCCCCAAGGTGCCTGTGCCGGCCACTGCGAGCCAAGCACGGGGCTAAAGAAGTACGCCCCTCCAGCGCCTTGCCCAGGCCACCCGTCACAGGGCAGCCGAGGGGTCAAGGTGCAGTGTGTCGGGACGGCCCCGTGGTGGAGTCCTGGCCTTCCCCTGAGGGCCCCCCTGCACTGTGCCACAGGCACAGACCCAGCCTCCAAATGGCACCACAGCCCAGTGTGACACTGGCCCATGAAGTTCCACTGTTGTGCGTGTCTGCTGGACATGCAGGCTCCGGAAGCACCTTCGTGGCCAGGTGGAAGGGGAGAAGCTGCCTCAGAGTGTGGGGCCAGCTGGCTTCAGGGAGGAGGGAGTGTCATCGTCCTGCTGCCTGGCAACTGTCCCCTGGGAGCTGCCCCACTGGGGAGCAGTGCTGTTGATCCAGGAGCCTCTTGTCCCAAAGGGTCCAGGCAGGGGTCCTTCTGCCCATGGCTCCCCGGGCTTGGGCCCCGCGGACAGACACAGTTGCCAGGGTTATCAGAGTTGCGGGGTGACCATCAGGCACCCCCGAGCTGCAACTGGTGCAGAGAGATGCCCTCCTCCCCCTCCCGGCAAGCTTCCTGTGCATTGGAACGCAGGCCTTTGGGCCTGGTCCTTTCTCTGTCGGAAGCGTCTCTACTGTGAAAAGGTGGCCAGGCAAGCCCTGGGCGGTGCAGAGCCCAGTGGAGGCGGGCTGGCGCCTGCTCCGACTGTGGACAGCACAGCTGTGTCCCTGCTACCCTCCTCCCCACAGTGGGTGCTCAGGAAATGTGTGGGGTAAACTGCTTCCTGTTATGCCCAGCCTTGGGGCAGGAGGCCTCTGCTGTCCCAGGGCCCAGGGGACACAGCATCAGGCAGCTATTCACAGCCAGCCCCCAGCCTGGACGTCGCACCAGGCCTGGGTGGTGTCCCTGGGACAGACTCGGTGTGTGGTCGGTCCTCATCTCATTGAGTATAGGCAGCACCAGCTGGGGGCAAGGCCCCTCACAGCCCCCCAGATGTGCGTGAGCCTGACGTGCCCCTCAAAGACTTTTGTCATCAGCAAAGTGGAGCACAGTCCCCAGCAGGCCCACTTTCCTAGCACCCCTGAAAACCTCCGCACTGTGGGGTAGAGGGGTCACCATGGCAAAATGCCCTCCTTTGGCTGGTGGACACAGGGAGGCTGGGGAGAAAGAGGGGCAGCGGTTTCACCTCCCCGTTTTCCTCCCACGGCTGAGGGAGGAGAGCGAGGGGCAGGACATTCCATCCCAGGAGCCACCTGGGGCTGGTGATGAGGACAGATGCCATCCTCACATCCCCACTTGCCCTGTGCCTGGCTCAGGAGCTCACTGCCCCTGTGCGCCACTTCAAGGGACCATCACCGTGCCAGCCCAGGAGGTGACAGGTCCCTGTAGAAGGACGGCTCGGCATGGGACCTAGGAAGGGACCCCCATGGCCTTGCCAGCGGGCACGCATGGAGGCCTTGAGCTGGTCACTCCTCGTGGGGTCTGGGTTCAAGTGCCATGTGGAATGGAAGATGGTGAGCAGTGACCACCAGAGCGTGGCTTAGGTGTTGGGAGCCTGCACCCACGCCTCACCTCCCAGGGCCGGGGGAGGATTAAATGGGGGGGGGTCAGTGCCAGGTCCCCTGGTCAGGCAGTGCCTGTAGCCGGTGCGGAGCCCACCGCCCTCCAGCGCGCTTGTGCCGCCCGCAGGCGCTGCTGCTGCTGGGGGCCGCGGCCCTGGCCTGCCTGGCCCTGGACCTCCTCTTCCTGCTCTTCTACTCCTTCTGGCTGTGCTGCCGGCGGCGCAAGAGCGACGAGCACCTGGAGGCTGACTGCTGCTGCACCGCCTGGTGCGTCATCATCGCCACGCTGGTCTGCAGGTGAGTGCGGGGGGCGGGCGGGGAGGGGCCGGCGTGGTGGGGGGGCCAATGTGAAGGAGCGAGGGGTGGTGGCAGGGGCCAAACGGGGCGGGGAAGTGGGCGGGCGGGAGGGGCCGGGGACGCCTGCGCTCTCAAGGCCCTGCCTCCTCCAGCGCGGGCATCGCGGTGGGATTTTACGGCAATGGAGAGACCAGTGACGGCGTCCATCGGGCCACCTACTCGCTCCGCCACGCCAACCGCACGGTGGCGGGGGTCCAGGACCGCGTGAGTTCACGCGGCGGGCGGGGGAGGGGCGCCCCTCTGTGTGCGCGGGAGGGCGCGTGGGCGCGCGGAGTCCCCGGCCTCAGCTACTCTGGTCCGGCAGGTGTGGGACACCGCAGCGGCCCTGAACCGCACGGCCGAGCCCAGCCTGCAGAGCCTGGAGCGGCAGCTGGCCGGACGGCCCGACCCCCTGCGCGCCGTGCAGCGGCTGCGGGGCCTGCTGGGGACGCTGCTGGGCTACGCGGCCTCCGTCCCATTTTGGAAGAACCCGGCGGTGTCGCTGCAGGCGCTGGCGGAGCAGGCGGAGCTCTACGACTGGTACAGGTGCGCGGCCCGGCCCCGCCCCGAGCGTGCGGGCCCCGCCCCTGAGCGCGCGGCCCCCGCCTCCGCCCCGCCCCCGAGCGCGCGGCCCCGCCTCCGTCCCGCCCCTGAGCGCGCGCGCGCGTGTGCCCGCAGGTGGCTGGGCTATCTGGGCCTGCTGCTGCTGGACGTTGTCGTCTGCCTCCTGGTGCTGGTGGGCCTCATCCGCAGCTCCAAGGGCATCCTGGTCGGGTGAGTGCGGGGTGGAGGGAGGGTCGTGGCCCAGCCGCACCCGGGACCAGCACCGTGGGCCTCCTGTGCCGCGTGGGCTTGCTGGGCTAGTGGACGCCTTCTTGGGACTTGGTGCCCAGGCCCCCGAGTGCCGGGGAACTCGTTCCATTCCTCCATCCTTGGCTGTGCTGACAGCCTGGGTCCATCCAGGCTCTCACAGTGCCACCTCCTCTGAAGATCACAGGAGTGGTACCTTTTCCGTAGAGTGGCTGCAAGGGGCTGTCACTGTCCCCACCTCTTCCAGGCTCCTGTGGGGGTCTGGCACTGGGAGAGTCCAGAGGACACCCCATCCTCTGCAGTGTGGTGCCCCGTGAGGGATGAGCGTGTAGGCGACAGCGCCCTAGAGAAGAGCATAGCCAGGGTGGGGGGTGCAGGCATCTGGGCGGTCGCACTGTGCACGCTGGGCCCAAGAAGGCCCGAGAGTGGGGACTTGGGGACAGAGGCCTGAGGGAGGCCAGTGTGCAGGCCTGTGGGTGTGTGTGGGGATGGGGGATGGCAGGTCTGGGGCTCTGAAGGAAGCTGTGTCCCACAAGGTTAAAGTCCCTGGTATAGCTGAGATCATAGGCCCCTGAGACTGTCACATGAAAGCCACAGAGCCAGAGTGAAAGCAGTGACTGTGATCTACTGAGGAGAGGATCCTGAGGAGGGAGCTGGGGGCAGGAAGGGTGAGGCCCCAAAGCCAGCTGGTCTTCAGCCCAATCCCACCCGCCTGCCTCTCCCATCTCTGAGCCCCACCCCGGCAAGGAGCCGCATCTGTCCAAGCCATGGCTAAGACCATGCCACAGGGGCAGCCACAGCCCCTGCAGGCCAGATCCCCCAGATGTGTCCTGGGGCCTGGCACTCTGGTCTGCAGCTTGGTATGTGGCATGTCTCCTCCCCCCAGCCCGGGGGCTGCTGACCGGCCTCCTTTGCCCCAAGGGTCTGCTTGCTGGGGGTCCTGGCCCTGGTCATCAGCTGGGGCACACTGGGCTTGGAACTGGCTGTGTCTGTGGTGAGTGGCTGGGGTCCTGAGATCCCCATCTGCTGGGCCTAGGTGGGGAGGGGGGTACCACATTCCTCTGCCCTCTTGCCCTGGGGCCAGGGTGGACAGAGAAGCACAGCTCTTCTCTAAGGCCTGCTCCTTTGCCTGTGCCCACCCAGGGCTCCAGTGACTTCTGCGTGGACCCTGACACCTACGTGAGGAAGATGGTGGGGGAGCACTCAGTGCTGAGTGAGGGTGAGTCTGCAGCCACATCAGAGCTGGTCTTCCCACGCTGGGCTGGCCTGGGGCGGCAAGAGGAACAAGTGAACAAGGCTGAGGTACCCCTGCCGTTGGAGCCTTGGGTCTCGGGGTGGCAGGTCCCAGGCCAGGAAACTGGTGAGTCAACAGGACCACCTTTTCCCAGGTGGAGGCTCTGCGGGATGGGCAGGTGCGGTGAGGCCAGTGACAACCTGGGGGGCAGTCAGGTGGCAAGGGAGGCACACAGCCAAGCCGGAGATTTTGAAGTTGAGCCAGGTGAAGCTGTGCCCCAGGCGAAGGCCAGGTGCAGGCACAGGCTACGTGGGAGCCTAGCCAGGCTGCACGCAGTTGTGTTGGGGCTTATTGTAGCGGGGGCGCCTGTGGCCAGGGGAGAGGGGAAGAGGCGAACCACGGCGGAGCATCTTTTTAAAAGCTTCCGTGAGGCCAGGCACGGTGGCCATGCTTGTACTCCCAGCACTCCAGCAGCAGGATTGCGAGCCCAAGACCAGCTGGGTTATGTCGTGAGACCTTACTGCACACAAAAAAATTTAAACAGCTCTCCAGGCTGCTGGGTGGTGACCCGAGGGTTCTGGGGAGGCCGCTTGGGAGGAGCCAGCGAGGCCTTGAACAGGTGGAGTAGGAGGCGGGCAGTATGGGCTTTGGGGGTGGGGCAGCAGGACTTCCTGATGAGCTCAATACAGGAAGAGAGGAACTGGGATTCCGTGTCGCTGGTCCTCCAGCCCCAGGCTCCTGGGGCAGACACCAGGGCTGAGTGCAGGTGGCGGTGTGGGAGACCACACTCCCACTGTTGCCACATCTGGCATCCTGCACACCAGCAGAGGGTCGGTGTCCAGCCTTGAGCTCCCTGGAGGCCACAGCTCGCCCCCATATGCTTGGTGCACTCATGCAAACAGAGGCCACCCCTCAGTCCCTCCTCCCCTTCCCCCTCTCTCCACAGACATCCTACAGTACTACCTGGCCTGCTCACCCCACGCCGCCAACCCCTTCCAGCAGGTAAGAGCCAGGCCAGTCCCCAAGCCCACCCACTCCAGCCAGCACCACGGGAGCTGTGCAGGGGTAGCTGGGCGGACACTGTTAGCCCAACCTGCCTAGTGCTGCCACGTCCCCGAGACTCCTTTCATTCCTTGGGGGGCAGAGGGAGGGTCCCTGGGAACGCTTCTGAACAGTGTCCTGTGGTGACATTTCAAGGGGTGGCAGTGCTGGCTGTCATGCCAGTAGAATCCGTCTCCAAGACAACCTGCCAAGGGTAGGCGTGTGGTTCACGCCTGCCATCCCAGCACTCACTTTGGGAGGCTGAGGCAGAAAGGACTGGGAGTTCGAGGCCATCCTGGGCTACATAGGGAGGCCCTGTCTCAAAAAAAAAAAAAGAAGACTCACCTGCATTGAGAGTGCCTGTTTGCTCTCTGGAACAGGTGCAGAGGTGCGGTGCTCTGGCACCTCCTGAGGGAACCCCCTGGTGTGCGGACAGTGGGGGTGGGGGAAACGGGTACGAGCCCTGTAGGCTGTGTGCCGGGGAGGACCGGGGTGACCAGGTGGTGGCCCAGCCGCTGGAACCCAAGCCTTTCTGGAGCAGAAGCTGTCGGGCAGCCACAAGGCCCTGGTGGAGATGCAGGACATGGTGGCTGAGCTGCTGAGGAGCGTCACACGGGAGCACCCAGCCACCAAGGTAAGGGGTGCAGGGTGGGGGAGCCTGGGGTCCCATCTCCTCCGCCTTTCAGTATGGAGCTGTCTTCCCATCCTCCTCCCTTTCCATTGTTTTCCCCGGGGGAAAGTTCAGTACTTTTTAAAAAAGCAATTTTGTTCTTTATATTAAAAGTGACAACTGGTGGAGTGGCTCAAGTGGTAGAGCGCCTGCCTAGCAAGCAGGAGGCCCTGAGTCCAAACCCCAATACCACCAAAAAAGAGGGGAAAAAAAAAAGACAGAAACAACCCAAACGCATCAGCGGTGGAGTGAGTATGTTACGGTATAGCCCACACAGAATACTATACAGCAGTGAAAATGGAGGCACATACACCCCCATGTGGGCGCGTGTGGTTAAGCTTCTGACAAAAGTCCACACCTCCTGGGGGTGTCTGGGTGGCCTGTGGGGTCCCCGTCCCTGTAGGACAGGAGCAAGGAGAGCTGTCTGGTGGGCTCTCCAGCTCCGTGGGAGCAGAGGAGTACCTTCCCTGAGGGACTTGGCGGACTTCAAAACAGCCAAGTGTTTGAAGTTCACGCACGCGATACTTTGTTTTATTTCGCGTTCCTGGGACAGCGTGCCCTTGTGTTTTGCTGACATGGGTCAGTAGGCACATCAGTCAGCTCCGGCTACTGTCACAGCACTGCAGATGGGTGGCCTGACTGAGACCTTTGTGTCACGGTCCTGGAGCGTGGAAGTGTGAGGTCGAGGCGTGAGCCGCTCTTTCCTCCCGACGCTGCCGCCCTGGTCTGGCAGTCTCGTCTTCCTGCGTGCTCACAGGGTCATCCCGCACACGTGTGTCTGTGTCCTGAGCACTCTTGTAAGGACCCCAGAGGGCCACTCAGCAGCTTCACCTCGCTGAGCCGGTCTGCAAAGGTTCTGGGGCTTCAGTGCGTGGATTTTAGGACACAGCTGAGCCCGTCACGCTGGGCTCTGTGTCCCTGACACAGCGTGGCTTGAAGCCGTGTTGCTGGAGGCGGCACTGGGCCTCTCGTCAGCCCAAGGTGTTGCTGTAGCCGTGTCTGCATGTGTACGACAGCCAGAGGGGTCCACACACGTGCACACACAGGTGCACTGCGACGAGGCTCGCTCTGCACAGAGGGCGTCACGTACTGTGGTGTCTCTCAACGTCTCCCGTTAAGAAAGAACACTCTTTCACTGTTCTTTAAAATAGGGTTTTTAAAAAACAGCTGGGTACCAGTGGCTCACGCCTGTAATCCCAGCTACTCAGGAGGCAGAGATCAGGAGGACCGCGGTTTGAAGCCAGCCTGGGCAAATAGTTCGTGGTTCAGATAGTTCCACGAGACCCTGTCTCGAAAAAATCTTCACAAAAAGGGCTGGTGGAGTGGCTCAAGGTGAAGTTCAAACCCCAAAAAAAAAACAGAACCAGGCCCCAGCCAGTGACTCACCATGGTCCCGTGACAATAGGGAGATGTGACTTCACATAGCACTGACCCAGGGGACAGGCATCCATGGGTCTCTTGTGTCCCCATGATCCAGGGCACAGACTCCATGGTTACCATTCTGCCCTCCATCCCTGCTTCCTCAAACTCTTCCTTCCCCACCTTCCCCTCTTTCTTCTTCCTTCCCTCCCCGGAACTGCAGGTACTTGCCAGGCAGGCGCCATGCCAGGGGCGTGTGCAGAGAATGGGGTGGAGGGTGGTCTTGGTGGCTGGTTGTGGGGTGGAGGAGCCTTGGGCTCCAGGAGGAGGTGTGGTGTTGACGTCAATGGCGCATAACCCCCCCAGGACCCCCTGCTTCGCGTCCAGGAGGTGCTAAACGGCACCGAGGTGAACCTCCGGCACCTGACGGCCCTCGTGGACTGCCGCAGCCTGCACCTGGTGAGGGCCGCCGGGGCGGGCGTGGGCAGCTGCGGGCAGGGTTGCTGCCGGACGGGGACAGCCCACCGATGGGGGCTCTCAGCCCACCTCCTGGCAGGGGCGTCCAGGCCACTGTGACTTGGCTCTGGGGGTGGCGTGTCGGCCTCACCCTGCCGGAGTCTGACTCTCCCCTCTGTCCCGCACAAAGGACTACGTGCAGGCCCTGACGGGCTTCTGCTATGACGGCGTGGAGGGCCTCATCTACCTGGCCCTCTTCTCCTTCGTCACGGCCCTCATGTTCAGCTCCATTGTCTGCAGCGTCCCACACACCTGGCAGCAGAAGAGGTGAGGCCCAGGCCACCCAGCACGCGAGGTCCTGGGCTCGAGTGGCGTGTGGGTGCCAGGCTCCTTCTCTGGTGTCACTGTGCCCCTTCACCCTCCTGCCTCCTTCCCATTTGGGCACTGACTGCTGCTCGTGGACGCACGGGGCTCGCCTGTGTGTTCTCTTGACGGTGGTGGTGATGGATGGCGATGGGGTGGTCATGAAGGTGGTGGTCGTGATGGTGACGGTGAGGGTGGTGGTGGTGACAGGGGCAGTGGCGGTGGTGAACGTGGAGGCTGAACGGGTGGCCCAGATCTCAGCCCTGGAGCGCATGGTTGACTCCAACCCTGACTGTACCCGCTTGTCATCTGACTGGACGAGTCACTGCTACTCCGGGCTGCGGTGCCCCTGCATTAAGGGAGGTGTAAGAGGTCGGATGAGCTCTGTGTAAGGCCCCACCTGGGCTCAGCCGTGGTCCCCGCTGCTCAGCCACAGTGTGTCACCCCAGCCCAGCCCAGCGTCCCATCAGGGACAAGAGGGTGTGGAGGGCTCCAGAGTGGCGGGGTCTGAGCCACGGGCTCCCTGGCCTCGCTCTGCAGCACCAGTGGTGTGAACGGGCCCTGCAGGGCCAAAGCAGGGCTCCCCAGCCTATGCCCCAGGCGGGGACCTGCACCCTACTTTCAATAAGCAAACAGCCAGGAGAGCCCTCTGCGTGCTGTGGGACAGGCCCAGGTGAGGTGACCATGTGGTCTAGGGCCCCGCCTCACAGTCAAGGCAGCGCCTGTAACTGCCCACAACCCATCAGTGTGACCGTGGCCCAGCCAGAGTCAGAAGCAGGCGTCCGCGCCAGCGCTGCTTCGCAGGCTGTGTGGCCGGTGCCCTCCTGCAGGCCCTTTAGCTTGTGTCCTGTCCCTCCCTGCAGGGGCCCCGAGGAGGATGGGGAGGACGAGGCTGCACCGGGGCCACGGCAGGCACACGACAGTCTATACCGCGTCCACATGCCCAGCCTCTACAGCTGTGGCAGCACCTATGGCAGTGAAGCCAGCATCCCGGCCGCGGCCCACACGGTCAGCAACGCCCCGGTCACCGAGTACATGTGAGTCGTGGGACAGGTGGGACCAAGGCTGGGCCATGGCTTGGAGGATGAGGGAGGCCGGCGCAAAGCCTGCAGGCTGTGGTGGAGGCTGGGCAGCCCCAGGCGTCAGGTGACTTAGTGTTGAGTGTCCTCTGCTCTCAGGTGAGCCCAGTAAAGGGCCATGCGGAGCCCACCTGATCAGACAGAGGGTCCATGGCTAGGCCGATGGCCCAGGGGAGGGGAGGCCTGGGCAGGCACAGGGGGCCGCTCTAAGCCTATTACTGTGCTGGGCCCCCGAGACCCTCAGTGAGAACAGGTGTCAGCCCTGTGGAAATCGGCGTCAATGGTGGTACTGGGCAGAGTCCTTCTGGCACTGAGATGGGTCACTGTGGCCAGTGGCCACTCATCAGCTCTCTCCTCTCCTCTCAGGAGTCAGAATGCCAATTTCCAGAACCCCCGCTGTGAGAACACCCCTCTCATTGGGCGTGAGTCCCCACCACCCTCAGTAAGTCCAGGGCAGATGGGGTGGGGGGATCCTCAGCCGCCAGGGGGTCCACTGCCTTGGTTCTGCACCACCACGGGGCTCTGGTGTGGTTGTCGTGGGCAGTGTGAGCTCTGGGGATAACTGGAGCCTCTGGTGCCGGGGACCCAGCAGGGTCTCGGTGGACATCTGGCCAGAGTCTGTGGGCTCATAGCTGTCACCAGCCTTGGGGAGCCAGAGCGCACAGCGCTGGGGGCCCGCTGCCCAGAGGGTTGGCTCTTGGCCCTTTCTTGGGGTAGGCAGGTGGGCAGCCCCACCACACGGGCCCCTGTGCTCCCTCTTCCCACCTTCACTCGGGCTCCCATAGCCCGGCTGGGCCTCCTTTCCTGCTAGGGGCCGGCCTTGCTTCCTTTCCTTCCGTCCTCCTTTTCCTGAGTGTAGCAGCGTTTCAGCCCCTGGCTGTGCCAGCCTGGGCCTGGAGTTCCCTCAGCCTCGAGGAGACATGAACAGGAGAGGACAGGGTGGACTTAGTGCCAAAGAGAAGGAGCTGGTGGAGAGGTTAGGGTCCACAGCTGCCTGGAGGGCCAGGTGCGAGAACTGGAGCCAGGAGGCTGAAGGCCACCATGCTTCAGAAGTGCCCACTGTGTGGCAACCACTGTTTTCCTGTAGTATAGGGCTGGGCCTGGGGTACCCAGGACCTGGACTAGGGGCTGTAAAGCCCAGAGGCCGTGCCGGGCTGCAGGCCGCGCCCTGGCGTTCAGGTCGCCCCTCTCTCTCTCTCTCTCCTGCACTCCTCCCACCCCGGGCCCTCCTAGCGCTATCTGGCTGCCCTGGACTCTGGCGGCCACGCGGGCTGGCAGTTTAAGCCCATGGACAGTGCCCGAACGCTGTGGTAGCTGTGCCCTGAGTGACAGGTACTGACCCACCCGGTCCCCTGCCCGCACGGCTGCCCGCCTGCGCCTCCATGCCTCGCACCCTCTGCTCACCACCGCCCCCCGCCCGAGCCGACCTCAGGCCCAGCTGCTCCAGGGCCAGTGCTGGGCGGCACAGCCCAGACAGAGGCCGCTATCATGGCCCTGAGCCCGCGGGTCTCAGCACGAGCAGTGAGCCCCATTCCAGATTTTCCCTGTCCCCTCCCCCAGCCCAGCCGCCCAGCTGTAAGTGGCCAGCCTGTCTTGTCACCTCCCAGTGAGGAAAGCATCCACCCAGGCCCCGTGTGCACTAGGCTTGAGCACAGAGCCGGGCCCCTGGGTGTGCGGCTCCGGCCCAGCCTCCGGGTTCGGCAGATCAGCCGGTGCACACAGGTGTTCGGGCGAGCGTGCACGCTCCTCCTACCGTCCCATCCCACCACCTGTCCCCGTCCCCGCTGCATGTCCATGGAATGACATGGCTGCTCATGTCACCCTCCTCCTGCCCTCCCCGCTCCATGTCCATCACACAGCTGCTCACACCTTCTAGGTGTTCCGGGAGGTCCCCCGGGGGCCCACGGAGCTCTGACCCTCTGGATATGGGGTTGTGGGACCAGCCTGGGATCGCTGGGGTGGCAGGTGGCCACTTGGGGTGGTGGGATCAGCCGCCAAGCTTCCTTACCACTGGTGACCTTTGGCCTTTGCCCCTACCATGGACGTGTGGGTTCTTTTCCCGCTGCCTGGCCTCAGCCCCTGCTTTGTTCTCATGTGTGTCCACCCTGAGCACACGCCACACTGCATTCACCACATGTGCACTGTTCGAGGCCCATGAGCCTCTGGTTGGACAAGGGTGGCCAACGTGTGCAGCCCGTCGCCTCTGTCCCAGTCTCAGGCCTTGGAGGAGTCCACTGTGGGTCCCTCCCGCCACGTGGGCAGCAGTGTCACTCCAGCCTAGGGTGATGGGTCAGAGTGACCATGGGGGCCTAATGAAGAAGACGCATCCTACTCATGGCCTGTGACCCGTGGCCTGGCAGGGCCTGGGCCTCAGCCTGGCCAGGTGGGCAGCCTGTGTTTGGCCTTCAGGTCTGGGCACAGGGGGTCCAGTTAGGGCCTTGACCTCTGGCTCTGGGGGGTGCAGATAACAGGGGTCTCCCCAACCAACTGGTGGGGACTGAGTGCTCCTTGCCCAGCCTGGGGCTGACTTCCCAATGGGCCACCACCTCCCTCAGGCCTACCCAGTCCTGGGTCCAGGCCCTGTACTGGCCGGCTCCTCTCCGGCCCCCTGCCCCTTGGGCTCACCAGCTGTACACTGCTCCATCTTCCTCCCAAGGGTTGGCTTTTGCCAGCCTGTGCAGACTGCATGGAGGAGGCTGCTGGCTGCCCGGCCTGCGCAGGGGCCCCACTGACCCCCTCCTCTCTCCTCCAGTACACGTCCAGCATGAGAGCCAAGTACCTCGCCACGAGCCAGCCTCGCCCCGAGTCCAGTGGCAGCGTGCACTAGACCGCCACCCCTGTGCCAATCGCCCACCCTCCTGTGCCAGCACTGCTTCCATCCGTGGCCACCTGCCTGCCGACCCTCCACACACCAGCTCTGGGCACAGCCGAGGCCCCACCCTGCTCTCCCTCCCCGCAGAGTCGTCCAGAATGACCTCTGGGCCAGGCTTAGAAGGAAGGGTTCTGGGCCACCCCCAGCCTGGGTCACACACCTGGACAGATGCTGCCACCAAACCTGGCCTCCCGCTCCACAGGTCCCTGTGCTGTCTTGGACCGCTGAGACCTGCTCTGTGCCAGGTGCCTGTGTCCTGACACACTCCTTCTGCTGATGGCCTTCCAGCCTCGTACACCTCAGCCCTGGCCTTCCCTGACCCACCCCTTCCCTCCCACAGCCGCCATTGTCTCCTGGTGCCGCCCTCGCCTGCTAGCCCCGTGCTTCTGTGGGTCACATCTTAGTTCACAGGCCAGCAGGAGACCCGTGACTGACATCGCTGGCCACTGAGGGACAGACCTGCACCTGCCTGCTTGTCTCGCACGTGTGGACTCCCCGCCCCCCACGCCCATCTCTCTGCAGCATCTCCGCCCACCTCCTCTGGTCCACACGGCTCACTGGCTCAGCCCTGCTTCTCCCGCCAGCTCCTCCTCCAGGGAGGCTCCCTTCTCTGCCTCACCCAGCACCTCTCTCCCTCAGCACCCGCCCTGCCTGAGGCATCCGGCCTTCCCCGGACAGCAGGTGTCACACAGGGCCTCCCAGTGCTGGCCGCCTTGGTGCCAAACCCCTCCTCCCCCCTCCCCCCAGGACGTAGCAGCTTCCTGCGGTTTGTCTCTTGCACTAACCACAGTGTCCTCTCCGTGGCAGGCGGGCGGTGGGCCGAGCGCGATGCTGCTCCCTTCCTTCCCTTCCTGTCTGCTTTCAACAGGACAGGTGCAGCGTCTCTAGGGCCCTGCCTCGGGCGCTGGACCTCAACTGGCTGTGAATGTCCCCAGCCTCCGGTGCCCGTCTGGGGACTAACCACTAACCTCACTCCCAGCCTCCATGGGTGCCCCTGGCTGACCAGAGCCAACAGGTCTAACCCCCGTCCAGCCTGGACCCAAGGCCCAGGACTGCAGTGGGGGTCCAGGACTGGAGTAGCTGTTTTCTTCGTGGGGTGCTGTTAGGAGGGGGCCATAGAGGGTCCAGAGACCCCTCCTGGGCAGCTGCAGCCCAGGAGGACGGTGTCCTCAGGAGTCACTGCCCTGTGGACTTCGGACTTGGACTAAGGTCCCTGTGGCCGCAGTCTCCCTCCCTGTGAAGTGGGAACAGGCTTCCCCAAGGTGCTTTTGGTCCTAGCGTGTGATCTTTGCTTGTGCTCCCGGGGTAGAAGCAACCGCAACCGGCAAGTCAGGACCCCGAGGCCCAGCCCCAGCCAGCTGGGACCACGCGGTCTGGTGCGGGCCTGGCCTGAGGGCCAGGGGCAGCCAGAGTGGGCGGCAACCGAGGCTCCGGCCCTACCGTGGGAGGCGGTTTACAGACCTCTGGTTCTCCCTGCTGGAGCCGCAGGGCAGCTGCCCAGTCCAGAACCGGCCTTGCTCCTCCCTAGGGGGAGGCTCCACCTGCCTTCTTCCAAACCCTTCTCTGTGCTGGTGTCTGGGACCAAAAGGAGGCTGGTGGGCCTAGGGCTGAGCCTGCGCATCTGAGCCCTCAGGGCAGGACCTAACCTCAGCAGAGGGCTTCTACCCCCGGCCTCACCTGGCCTGGCTGCGGACCAGGAGATGCAGCCATGGGCAGCTTGCCCGGTGTCCTCCTGGCTCTCCTGGCCGTGCCTCCGGGGTGCCGTGCTCCCGGGTGCTCTGGGGCGGCTGAGGCCCCGGCTACCCACAGTGAATGTATATATAGCATAAGAGGCGGGCACTGCCCAGCGTGGCTGTGGACCTGTGCTGTCTTGGGCGTCCTGACTGTCGTGTGCGTGCCCCATCTGTGACTGCTCACCGAGGCTGAAGAAAGGAAGGGGCAAGTCGGGGTTCACGCCTCCACCCCAGTCGGCGGAGGGGGCTGCTCCTGCCCTGGTTTTCTTTTCATTTTGAGTTTTGGGAATCACTTGACCCCCATCCCAGTGACCCTCCACACCTCCTGGGGGCGACAGGCCAGGGCCAGCTGCCAGTGACCAGCCCCGCTCCCACTCTGCCCATGAGGACCCCGAAGCATGGGAAGGGGAGAGGTCAGAGGAGCTCAGCCACCAGGCAGGTCCCTGGCCAGGCCAGGAGGAGGGGTCCAGCTGGGACAAGCGACTTTCTGCAGGTGTCCACCCCCATGGCAGGTGGTGGACAGGCCTAGTTGGAATCAACCCCAACCCTTTTCCCAGCCCCTGCCCCCCATCTCACTATGCAATCCCCGTTCCAAGCACGGAGCCCCCCAGCCCCAGCTCTGCCCAGCTGGGAGGGCGTGGTGAGGCCACAGCCCCTGCGCCCGGGTGGCCGGGGCCTTTGGTGGGGCGTCTTTTTGTGTTGGACCCTAATGGTTACGTGCCGTACCCCTGTGTTTGTCATATACACGATTTAGTTACGACTCACCCCGGTTCACCTCCCCCACGCGCAGTGTGGGTCACCCCCGAGCGGAGACGGCCTGCTTCCCCTCCAGCCTCCATAGGGCCTTGGCTGTGTGTCATGTCGCTGTGTTTTTGTTTTTTAAAACTGGGTTTGGGGTTTGATTTTTATTTCTTTGAAGGGGGGGACTTTTATTTTTCTTGGCAAATACTAAAATTCTCGTCAATGTAATATCTGTGGTTTCTATTCAGCTTGGGTTTCATGTTTTAAAATAAAAATTTGAAAACAGGTGTCTGAGTTGTGTGGGGTCCAGACTCGAAGCAGTTTGCAGGGTGGGGTCGGGGGTGTGAACCAAGTGGGCTGGGCGGGGCTTCTCTGGCAGGCGGGGCCTTACTGGGTGGGCGGGGCTTCACTGGGTGGGCGGGGCTTCACCGGCAGGCGGGGCCTTGTTGGGTGGGCGGGGCTTCACTGGCGGCCGCAGAGTGGCTCCATCAGAGGGCTGGGGGAGTGGTCGATGGTGGACAGACCTGGTGAGAGCCTGGTGTCGCAGCCTGCACTGCCTGTGGCCCAGCATGGCAGTGGTGGAGGGACCTAAGATCAGGGGCCATGCCGGGTCCCCACAGAGGTCCCCCTCCTTCACAGAGCGGGGGCAAGTGTCCTCACTGGAAGGTGCAGGGGCTCAGTGGGAAGGAGCGGTCACTTGGTTCTCTCTGAGACGCAGGCTCAGAGCACGAGGTGCCCGGGGCTGCCTGGCACGCGGCCCTTTGAGGGGCAGCACCCTGTGGGCTGGGGACGCCCCCTCTGACCAGCAAAGCATTTGTCCCCCAAGTTGAGGTGCACAGGTGGGCGAGGTAGCCGCTGGGGCGGACAGACACCTGGTTCTGGCTCCCAGCTCCGAGGCCCATGGGGAGGTCACCGGGCAGAGACCTTGCCAGAGCTTTCCAGGCAGACTGTGTCCTGGGGACATTTGGGCTTGAGGACCCAAAAGGCAAGGGAGCCCCAGGCTTGGAGTGAGACCCAGGCACATGCTGCTCTCTTAGACCTCAGTCCCCCGTGTGTCGGGGACACTGGCCATCTGGTTCTTAACCAGCGGGTGGGCGGCACCCACCATTCCATCAGCTCCCCGGCCCCGGCAGTGTTAAGTAGACACCGTACAAAAGGACGAGCTCAGCTGCGACCCTCCTGCCTCCCTCTTACGACAGCCCTTGCAATTACATCAGGTTCACCCCAATATCCAGAATGATTTCCTATCCAGACCCCTTGGCCGATGTACGATGACACCCTGGAGGGTTAGAATGTGGATACCAGGGCGCTAACCTGGGGCCGCTGAGGCAGGAGGGTTCAGGCAGAGGGCCTTAGAAAGACTTTGACCTCTACCCTGGGGGAGGTGGGAGCCATGCACGAACAGTGGGCGGGGTGTCCCTGAGTGGGTGGGACAGCAGGACAGGGACAAAGCGGGGACCCTGAGGCCCAGGGTCTGGAGCTCACAGTGGGATTACCTGGGAACAAAGCCACTTGCCAGGCCTAGCCGATGACCACGCTAATCAGGTCCTGGATGCAGGGTCCAGAGGAGCCAGGGAGGGAGGAGGAGCGGCTGGGAGAGCCAAGGGGTGGTTTGACCATGAACTTTCAGCCAGGTGAGGACAACTGTGGGGTCCAGATATCAATGGGAGAGCCGGATGGACAGGAGGTCTGGGCAGAGGGACAGGGGTAGAGGGACACAGGAGGCAGGCAGGGTGGAGGGCTGTGGCCACAGTGCAGGCGAGGCCTGTTAGCGACTATGGCAACTGGGCCAGGCGTGCGTGGGAGGAATTAGAAACACCAAGGTCAGCTGGGCACTGGTGCTCACGCCTGTAATCCCAGCTACTCAGGAGGCAGAGGTCAGGAGGATCACAGTTTGAAACCAGCCCTGAGCAAATAGCTCGTGAGACCCTGTCTTGAAAATACCCATCATAAAAAAAATAGGGCTGGTGGAGTGGCTCAGGTGGAGGTCTTGAGTTCAAATCCCATGCCACCAAAAAAAGAAACACCAAGGTCTGCAAGCGTGGTCACGGTGCAGGACAGGACACAGCAGCCAGGAGCCAAAATCTCCCTGGAGCGAGGGTGCCCATGGGGCAGGAGGTGACCTAAGGTTAAGGCTAGGCTGTGGGGGCTCAGAAGGGAAAAGCCAGGTGTGAGTGACCAGCAGGGGACGCTGGGCCCTCAGAGGAGGAGACACCAGGGACACCGGTGACACCGGGGACATTGGAAGTACCCCAAATTGCTGCTGGGGCTCAGCTGGGGCTCAGCTGTGACAGGACCGGGTTGGACTGGAGCAGAGCGGTCACTCCGCTGAGGATCGGAGTGCCAGGCTCTCACTCCCGAGCTGGGGCACCAGCGGCAGCAGGGGGTTCCACCGACTTGATGTCACCACGTGGCTTGAATCAAATTGGCAAACGCACTCGTCGCGCTGGAGCGGCAAGGAGCAGCCCGGGTGGCAGCCCCTTCCTCCCTGCCACCCTCCGCCCGCCGCCCGCCACCCGCCGGGCCGCGCACCCCTACATGCAGGCAAGGGTTCCCGATAGGAGGGATTCAGGCTGCAAGAGAAGCCGCCAGCTGTCACCGCCAGACGGCGCCCGAGGACCGTGGTGGGTGGTGTGGGAGAGGCGGAGGCCAGGACGGGGCTGGAAGGGGGGCAGGGGGCCCCCAAACTCCACAACTACTCTTGGGGCCACGACAAGGGTATTTTCCCGGTCACGGGGTCCCTCCTAGGGATGTACCAAGTGTGCGTCCAGCCCTGGGCTCTGAAAGTGGGGAGGGGACAGACAGAGGTCAAGGCTAGGGCTGCAGTTGGGGGTGGGGTTGGGCAGTTGTGGGGACGCTGGCCGCAGGCCGGCCAGCTCCTCTGGAAGATTAAAAGCTGGGTCTGGCCTAGTCCCCCATTTCCCTGACACCCCAGGCCAGGAGAGGGGACTGGCTGAAGTCAGTCACCCAGCAGGGTCTGGCACCTGCCCCTGGTGAAATCTGGGGGACAGTCACTTTGCCGGCTGGGGTTTGGGCCGGGTATGGCTGGAGTGGGGGTATCTGGGTGTCCACACTGTTGGTTGGCAACCCTGAGCTGGACCGCCTCCTCCCCCACTGTGTCTGCACCAAGCCTTCCTGCGCCAACTGAAGACGCCTCTTCCAGGAAGTCAGCCCTGATGACCCCCCTGGGGAGGGGAGTTCCTTTAATAAACCCCAGACCCTTTACACCCGACACTCACCCCGAGAGCGGAAGCTGGGGGTGGCTGCTGTGTTCTGCCACCCAGCAGTTTTATTTTTGAAAGCCTCACGGATGATTGGCGGCTCTGCAGGGGTGTCTGTCTGAGCCAGCAGGGCTCCTTCCGTGTGGCAAGGAGGCCACCAGCTGTACCCAGTGATGCAGGACTTCCCTCCTCAGCCTGATTCACAGCCCTGAGGGCAGTGAGTAGGAGTCAGCTGGTCCCCCAGGGTGCGCCTGACAGTTCCCCAGCTTCTCCTGGGAGAGGAAGGCCCTAGGCGCTGGCCTGTTCCCCACCCGCATCCCACTTCTCAGATGGGGAAACTGAGGCTCCTGGGAGGGCGGAGCACCGCACACCGTGCCCTCCTCTCACAGGGGTCTTTGGAGAGGCTGGGATGAGAGATGGACGGTCACCCTCTGCCTACAGGGCCCTATCACCCCTGTGCGGAGGCCACGCCACGTGGGGACCAGGGCACCAGGCCTGACTCACCCAGGCAGGAAGGAGGCCCACAGCCAGTTCCCCTGTGACCCCCCCAAATGTCAGCTTCCTCTCCCATCCTGAGGCTGAGCAGAGTTCCCCACGATGTGGCTAGCCAGTGTCGCTGGCGACAGTGAAGGGGTCAGGCTGTGGTGGCCAAGGGGCCTTCCTTTGTCCTCGGGTTCCCGTCACTGCCCACACACCCCGGGCAGCTACCCCAGTCTTTGGAAACCACGCTCTTCTGACTCAGGCCCATCTAAGGCCTGCCCGTCCCCCGTCCCCCAAAAGCCGAGCTCTAGGGGCCTGGCCTGACCCGCTGGGGGGGCCCCCGGGCTTGGCTGGGGTAGGGGCTCCTCCGGGGGAGCCGCCTCGCCGCGCCTTTGTAGGCCTGGGGGGTAACGAGACAGTAAGATGGGGGTCCTGGCGGCCCAGCGGGGGGCAGGGTCCTGTCAAAGCAGGCACCTGCAGGGGGTGGCCGCTGGGCAGTGCCAGCCTCCCCAGCCCGGAGGCGGCCAGGGGCCCAGTCTGAAGAAAGAGGAAGTGGGGAGGCGGAGGGGGTGGGGCGGGGATTCCCCGGCTGGGGGCCTCAGATTTGAGGAAGAAAGGCCACCAGGGCCTGAGTCCTTCCTGGCTCCAGGACCTGTTCAGTGGGGGCTGGGCCCAGCCAGCGTCACCTGCTGAGCCTCAGTGTCCCTATCTGTGAGTTTCAGACAGGGACGGATGGAGCTGGGCAGAGGACTGAGGCCTGGGGCCAGTGGTCACAGTGGTCACCCTCCCTCCTGCAAGGAGGTCTCATCTCTTGGTGTTTGTCCCCAGGCCAGGCCAGCACAGCTGAGGCTCCAGAGCCTGATGGCTGCTTCCTGTCTGGGGACCTGTGGCACCCAGTGGCCCTGGCAGTCCCTCCAGGAAGTACAGTGGACCCGTGCTATCAGCAGCCACTGGACGGTGACCTGGCGACGCCTGGGTCCCAGCCAGCAGCTACTTTGGTTCCAAGTTTCCTTCCAAAAGAGTCGGCTTAGTACAGGAGAGTCTCCTCACCCACATACCCGCAGTGAGCCCTGTCCCGAGTCCCCTCCCAGGGGCCACCCGTCACCCCGGGAGGTTAGGACCCACGTCCAGTCAAGGACCCGAGTGGCTGTGAAGACTCCTTTATTCACAGCGGAAGGGCGTCGCCAGAGCTCGAGGTTCCAATCCCTTACTTTTCCGCGCTGCGTCCTTGCAGAGAGAACAGAGAACCCGAAACGCGGGTGACAGGGGACAGGCGGCCGCGCGGGCCGCAGAGGGGGACGGGAGTGGGGTTTCCAGATGCTGGAAGGCATAAATAGCGTCAGGCGTTCAAAGCTGAGCTCTACCAGACGAAAGGCCCCGAGTCCACCTTGGGCCTTTTCTGATCCACAGAAAAGATAAAATGAGACCCTCCCCACCCATGCCCGAAAACAAACCTAACAGCGCCACCCACCCACCACCCACCCACCCACCCTCGCGAAAATACAGCACAGTGAAAATACTGTCACGATATTTACAACACGCCCACTGTGGGTGACATTCTCTCTACTTTAGAGAGGAGACAGTCGCTCAGCTCCGACTCCCCGAGCGTGGGGAGACAAAGGCAGGACCTCGAGGGGCCCAGGACAGCTGGGAGGGGAGCACTGTCCACCCGCTCGCTGTCTGGGAGCCACCGGGGACACGAGGCTCGGCCACCCCCCCCCAGCACGGCTGGACCGGGGGCGCCCAGCGGGGCCAGGCCTCCAGGCCCGGGTCCCCCCCGCCCACAGCCGGCTCAGCGACGGAGGCCTGAGCCCCAAAAGAGCCGGCAGAGCGCGGGAGGCGAGTGATTTCTGCCGCTCCTCACCGAGCAGCCGGCGACACGGTGGTGCACGCGCCACATGCAGCCCCGGGAGCCTCGAACGTAGAGGCCAGGCTGGACAACGGGGTCTCTGGGCCCTTTGGATACCAGGGGCGCCCAGGGACGGGATCTCAGGCACGGCTGCTAGTGTGCAGTGTGGGGACACCATGGCGTGTCCGGGTACAGATTGCAGTGCACAGAACGGAACCTGTGAGGACACAGCGGGAGGGTCTGTGTGGGGTGGGGGAGTCCTGGGGACGCCTCTGCCTCATCCCGCGGCTTGGGGCGGCCAGCCCCCCCCACCCCTCCGGGCCTCAGTCTTCTCACCTGGACGGATCAGCATCCACTGAGAAGGGCCCCTTCACGTGCACGGTGTTCTGCTTATTTTCAAACGTACCGTAGCTCAGGGTCACCTGCGGAGGGAGGAGCAGAGTGACCCGAGAACACCCCTGGGCTCTGGACGAGGGACAGCCCTTCCTTGCCCTGCCTGCTGCCCTCCCCCGGACCAAGGGCAGAGAATCTCTGCCGATTCAAGCAAAGTACCGGGGGGCCGGTGCAGTGGTGAAGAGCGCCGGCCTAGCAAGTACGAGGCCCTGAGTTCAAACCCCAGGGCCACCAAAAACCAAACAAAAAGCCAAGTACTGGAAAGGCACCGAGCAAAGGTAACCGGCAGAAGGACTGGACCAGCAGTTTGCTGTGACCCATGTCCACCCTGCTCAGGGAAACCCAGTGCCTGGGGCAGCTGACAGTGTGGTTCTTCCTGACTTCCCTATTGAAAACAGCGACCCGTTGAGCGGGGTGATACATGCCTATAATCCCAGCTACTTGGGAAGCAGAGATAGGAAAACCCAAGTCTGAGGCCTGCCCTGGGCAAAAAGCACATGGATCCTATATGAAAAAATGAAGTCCCTCCCAACCCCCCAAAAGGCTGGATGTGTGGCTCCAGGGATGGAATGCCTACCTAGGAAGCACAAACCCCAGTACTGCCCCAAAATAGCCAGGTGCCGTGGCTCACACCTGTAATCCCAACTATACAGGAGGCAGAAATCAGGAGGATCGTGGTTCAAAGCCAGCCCAGGCAAATAGTTTGCAAGGCCCTATCTTGAAAAAAACTATCACAAAAAACGCTGGTGGAGTGACTCAAGGTGTGGGCCCTGAGTTCAAATCCCAGTAACACACACACACAACAACTAATAAGACGGACCCCCGCCTTCCCTCCTCCACAAGCCTGTCCTCCGCCTGCCGGGTGCTGACGGGCCCTGGGGCACACACACCTGCTCATGGAGCTCAGAAGTGGGCACCTGCTGCAGGTTCTCCAGGTGCGAGTGAAACAGGCCACTGCGGATGAGGGGGACGCCCAGCAGGGTCTCCACAATGTAGCCAATGGTACAGTCATCCGGGAGCCGGATCCTCTCCGCGGTGCTCATAAAGTGACCCCTGCTGTGGGAGGGAGAGGCCAGGGGCAGTGAGCAGAGGCTGGGGCCACCAGCTTGGGGCTGGGCTGGGAGGAGGTGGGCGTGCCCCAGGGTGGCCGTCCTGCCTGCGGCTCCCTGTCCGTCCACACACCTTCCACACGAGACAGGGAGAGGTGTGGCCGTGCGGCACAGCGGACACCCGCAGCTGGGAAGATGACCGAGCCGGGCCTCACGGGAGGGAGGCCTGGGACCCAGGAAGACCCAGCACCTGGCAGCCTTGTCTGTGCAGGGCACTCACCTGGCCCACGGGCTCATCTTCAGAGCCAGCCCTCGGCTGATGCAGAAGCCAGCCCCACCGGTGGCAAACCAGAAGTGGACAGGACGCTGGGGGAGAGAAAGTGTCGTGAGATGCCAGGCATCCTCCCCTGGGGCGCTGTGTGCGGAGTGACATGGACAGTGGGGGTGGGGGCACTCACCACCGTGTTCTCGCTGACCCGCTCCGTGGCCTGGATGGGCCGGTCCAGGCTGGGCTTCCCGAGGTACACGTCCTGGCTGTGCCGGTAGCTGGCCAGCAGCCGCAGCAGGGCCTGTAGGTTGACGTAGTTGTCATCGTCCACGTGGCAGAACCACCTGAGGGCAGGGCGAGGTGTCAGGGACAGACCCAGACGCTGGAGGACTGGCAGGGGAGATCCTGGGGTCCAACTCACTTCCTCCCCGACTCAATGAAGCGGTCATACTCCACGGCCATCTTGCAGGACAGGGCCTGGCGACTATGGGCTGCTGAGCAGTTGGTATTGACCACGTTGCCTGTGGACGCGGGAGAAGCTGTGAGTGGGGCTGGGCTGGGCCCAAGGGGCCTCCCTGACCCCGGCAGGGACCCTCCCCCTGCCCAGCCCCCCCCTCCCTGTGGCCCGCCCCTGCCCATTCAGCCGGCTTTTTCCCAGTAGCCGCCACCTGTTGTCTCCTGCTTGGCTCAAAGGGACAGGGACTGAAAGGGCCTTATCTGCATGAGAATTGGGGGCCCTGGAGTGGTGGGGCGGGGCGCTCAGCAAACCCTAGGGGTAAACAGCCTTGCAGCCCGGCAGCCTCGAACCTCTCAGCCCCAGGGGCGGGGGGCTACTCAGAGAGCCCCGCTCCCTCCCGGCCAAGCCCTGGGCTCACCCGTGTGCCTGGCCAACACCTCGTCGTCCCCATCGGTGAAAATGAATGTCTGGAAGGAGAAAGGAGACCTTAAGCCCCGGGGCCACGGCGGACAGGGCTGGGGCCATGGCGGACAGGGCTGGACACCCTGGAGCTTCTGCAGCTGCTGCTCTGAACACCTCCTCCTCCCTCTCCCCAACACGCACACAGTGGGGCTGCAAGTGGCCGCTGGGCTGGGGGGCCTCCCTCCACAACACGACAGCTGGGTCCAAGGTCACCTGGGCAGCTGCAAGGCACGAGCCAGGTGGGTGTCCCACCCGCCCGCCAGGTAACAGACTCGCGCTCCCGCCTGCCCGTGCACCTGGCAGGCGCACCCTTATTGACACAGCGCCCGGCCTGCCCGCTTGGAGGCTGCGGGAGGAGGTCGGCTTTGGGAAGCGGAGCCTCAATCGCTGGGACCGGGGACAAAGGCCTTTGCTGGGCGGCTGCCAAGCCCTGGCAGACAAAGGGCCCGGAGGGAGGATGAATCACCAGGCGTTGTCCGCCAGCTTTGTCCTGGCCCGGGGCAGCCTTAACTCCGCGAGTTAAGCAAGGAGTGGCAGCAGCTGGCCTGGTTAACTGGGCTGGGCCAGAGGTCCCCGGAAGGGGTGTGGCCGCTGGCAGTGCAGCCATCCCAGACTGTGTCCTTAAGCTCGTCCCCAGCACATGCCCAGCCAGCAGGTTCCCCGAAGCCCAAGTAGCCACCGATGGTCAGTGCCGTGGTGGCAGCAGGGCTCGTGTCCCCAGGCCCCGTAGGGCACCCACGCAGCCCCGTAGCCCTCCCCCCTCCCCCTCCCCCTCCCCCTCCCCGCGGTACAGTGGAGGAAACCAGTTCACAGAGAGGAAGAAGGCTCCACCTTCGCCGGGCCACCCCTGCCAGGACTGTGGCTCTGCCGAAGAGGGGCCGCTGGGGCGGGGCCAGGAGCTGCCGGCGCCCGCCCGGGCCGGTCGGCACACGGGCAGGAATGTTCCCTCCGGGTCGGCCCGCCCAGCGCGTGCCGCCCGCCGCACCCTGGCCCTGGCATGACCGAGAGCGAGGCCGGCCACGGGATCCCCCAGTGCCCACCAGGCCTCGGTTTCCTTCTGCGCACAAACAGGTCGGCGCAGCGTGTGCACGCCTGGAGCACAGCACACACACCCAGCAACCTGGGGAAGCCCCCGACCTGGGCCACGAGGGTGCAGCCCCCCTCACCTGGGCAGCCTCGGCACCTAGCTTAACCTGACCCCAGGCTTGGATGACGAGGTCCAGAGGCACCTACTCCACACACGCATCCTTCCAGGGCCCAAGAGACACCCAGCCCCCCACCCGCGGCCCAGCATCTGAGCCCAGGAATGCCGTGGGAGGCGGAGGGGCCGGCCCGTGCAGACACTCGTTTGCTCCACTGTGCCGCTGGATTAAAAAGAAAATGCTTTCTTAATGAGCTCAGGCAAGGCCTGTTCTCCCGCCTAAGGCTACAGAGATTAAAGTCACCTTTGTTCAGCTCGGAGAGCCCAGGGACCCCCAGAACATCCCTGGACGGGAGGGGCTGCAGGGTGTGGGGGTGCCAAGCCTCCTGTCTCCCCAACACAGGGCAACTTGGAGAGGAGAGGGTAGAGAGGGTGCACCCTCACCCACCATTCAGAGACTCAGTTTCCTCCTCTGTGAAATGGGTGTAGTGAGCTCACCCATGCAAAATGCTGACACAGACTGTCTCTTCTTCTCCCTAGCAGCCCTGGAAGGTGGGCACCAGTCCCACCCAAGTGCACAAGCGGGGAGACAGGGGCCAGGGAGCTGCAGGCACCAGCCCTGCCTCAGGGAACCAACCCCGTCTGCGTCCCCCACCTTCCCTGAAAGAGGACGATCAGGGCAGCAAGGGCGGTGGTGTGTGGGGGGGGACAGCCACAGGAAGCAGCATTGTTCCTGGAACTGTGATTCAAAGAAACACAGGATGCCGACTGTGCCCCAGCCATTGTGGCCAGGCGGTGGCAGCCTGCAGCCTGGCGCGCTCCTGGGAGGTGGGGGAGGAGCAGGCAGGCCAGAGGCCAGACTTCACCCCTCCCTTGCTGACCAGCCCTCCCCACCCCACCCCACCCCAGCTCTCCAAGGGTTGCTTGCATCTCCACCTCAGGCTGGCGCGACCCGGATGCCCAGATACCCTTTCTGGGCTCTTTGACGCTCCTCTGGCTTAAATGGCACTTCCTCTAGGACCGTTCCTCCCGGCTCGACCCATGCCCCCTCCCAGCTGCCCTGCACAGACCAGGAGAGCCGGCCCTGTGCAGAGTTCCAAGGACCCCGGCTCACACCTCATGAGAGGGGCTCTGCACACACATGAGCCGAGCCAGGAGGCAGATCCAGCTCCCCCAAGTGGGGGGACCCTTCAACAAGGGCCTCCAGGCCCTGTGGAGAGGTGGACCCCCAACTCCACACGCCTCCTGGGCTCACCCCAAGCCTCCAGGTTTTGTGGTTCTCTTTTACACACCCTACAGCGTCTCTGTCACTTCAAAGCTGAAGATCCCTAAAGCCAGAAAGATCCTGGCCTTGCCCAGTGCTGCGACTCCACACCCCAGACCCCTCTGTGAAGAAAGGCCCCCAATTCCAAGATGAGAGGTGCTCGGGGCTGGTGGCCGCACAGAGGGGTCTGCATGCTGTCCCGGGTCACACAGCAGGAAGGCTGAGGGCTGGAGAGGGGGGTGCCTGGCTCAGGGATCGCACCCCACAGGGCTGTCAGTCAGGGCTGTGGGGGGGGTCAAGAGGCCCCCTCATCGCCAGGCAACCTGAGTGGCCAGCACGCCAGCGGCGGTTCCCATGGAGCGCGGAGCTGCACACAAGAGGCTGGAGAAAGGCGCTTTGTTACCTTGCCCAAGGGGCCGGCGTGAGAGCCGCCCGGCGCTGGGAATCCTAACGGCCCGGACGCCAAACAAAACCCACGGCCCCCGCTGCCCCCTCCCGCTGGCCGCTGAGCCCCTGGGAAAGGGACGCTTCGTTCCCAGGAGGCTGCTGTGAGGTTCCCGGGGCCCCTCCCCAACTGGGACCAGAGAGGACCTTGCCTGCCCCCTGGCCCCCATGAGGAGCTCACTAGGGCGAACCCGAAAGGCCTGAGGTCTTGGGGGCTTTGCAGAGGGAGGATGTGGGGGCCTGGAGCTGCTCGCGCGCTCCCTCCCCTGCAGGGCCACACTGTGCCCTCTTCCCTCCCCAACCGTCTTCTCATAGCCTGGAGGGAAAATTTCAAAGTGGGGTGTGTCTTTATGTGTGTGAGCGTTGATCCCCAACTGGAGGACCCAGGCCTCAGGGGACCTCCCAAACTGGGAGACCCCAAAGTGCTTGTGCACTCCAGGCGCGCTCTCTCTCCCCCGCACGCACACACACTCTGCGGGGCTCCCAAGAGCAGCAATTTGGCCCGCACACCGTGCAAGCTGTGCGTCCCCTCCCTTCTTTCACCTCCCAGGGAGAAGTTGTAAATGACCCTTAAGGGCTGAGCCCAATTTGGAGAGGCTTGGGGACAAATAACACCCGATTGGCTCCAGCGTCTGGAGGACAAACATCACAGGACAGCCGCCCAAGCACTGGACACTGCTGTAGGGTCCGCGCGGCCATCCAGGGCTTGCAAGTTGGCTAGGAGCCCCTCTCTCCCCGACACTTCCACAGCTGTGTGGGACAGTGACCCCAGCAGGTACCTTGGGCTCCAAAGGAGATAGATCCAGCTCCATGCAGGAGCACAGTCTCTGGACAGACATGCAGCCTGGCCCCTAGCTGGACAAGGCAGTGCGCGCCCGTTTTACCGTCCTCCCGCCCAGCCCGCGGGGGCTCACCATCTCCTTGTGGCGCGAGATCCAAGTCTCCAGCAGCAGGTCGAGGCGCGCGCGGTGAAACTTCCTGGTGGTCTTGACCGCGATGAAGACGTCTCGGGGCGCCAGGGGCTCAACCGGGGGCCTCGGGTGTCCATCCGAGGGGCGGGGGGCGCCCCCGAGTGGCGGGCCCGCATCCCTGCGAGAGCGGGTCAGCAGGCTGAAGTACTCAGACAGACTGTGCACCTCGCGGGCAAGCGCTCCGGGTGCCGCCACCGCCACCGCCGCCGCCCCGAGTCCCCGCACCGGGGCCACCCCCGCGGGACCTGCCAAGCTGCGCAGGGCGCGCCGGCCTCGCTCGGCCGGGACCGGGGGCGGCGGCGGATCGGCGGTGAGCACCAGGAGACAGGCGAGCAATGCGCCTGCCAGCGCCAACAGCAGGCGCCGGCCGCAGCGCTTGAGCATGGTGGCCGGCGGCCGCGCGGTGAGCCAAACGCCACTCCACCCAGCCCGAGGTGCCGGGGTCCAACCGCGCGCCGTCCGCGCCGGGCGCTCTAAAACCTCCCCGTTAGCCACGCCCCGCTCATGCTCATTGGCTCACGCGCCGAGCACTCTTCAACCTCCCCTCTCGTTAGCCACGCCCCCTAGCGCTCATTGGCTCAATCTCCGGGGCGGGGCCTCGTAAATCTCCCTCCCCTCCAGCCAGGCAAGTGCCCACGTGGGGCCGCGGCAGGGGGCTGGGAACGGGTGCCGCCCCCTTTGCGCACGTGCGCGCCCCGCCCCCGCTGGGGTCGCCCGCGCGGGTCGCCGGCGGGGGGGCGTGGGGACTCCGACCCGGTTGCACCGGATGCACTGAAAAGGGGCACCCTAACTTCCAACTCCCGCGCCCGGCTGCACGTGGAGGTGGCCAGGGTGCTGGGACCTGGACTCCACGCTCTGACACCCCACGGGTCGGAGCTTCTTAGCTCCGCAAGCCGGCTTCCTCCCTTAGGGACTGCGCTGACACAGCAAGTAGAGGCGACATCGGGACGTCCCCTGCGCTTGGCTCCGGGGTGGCCGTCATTGACAGGGAGCTGGAGGTTGTGGCCACCTGTGGCTCTCCTTCCCCTGCACAGCCCTCGCCCCCCAGCTGATGTCCTGGAGTAAAGCGGGTGTGGTCCCCGAAAACCTCAGCCAGGAGAAAGCTAAGGCCACCCCCCTCCGCCCTTCCCTTTGGGGATGAAAGGCCGCCCTTCTGTCCCATTTGGTCCTTTGCGCTCGGGCCAGATGTGACCCAGCTGTGCGCCCTCCCCGGCGCACGGCCCCCACCCCTGGGTCTTCCCACGGGCCGGGCCGACCCCCTGCACGAGCGGGGGCGGCAGGAATGCGCAAGCGGCCGAGGGTGAGGGGCTGCGGCCCGGAAGTGGCCGAGGGTCCCCGGAGCGGGAGCTCCTGCCCGCCGCGTGTCCCCAGAGCGCAGCTGGGGCCGGCTCTGCGCTTGGCTGCGTCCTGGTGCCCTTGGCTCCAGTTTCCTGGTCCCACCCACCGTGACCATGATGAGCTGAAATCACTACTCCCTGGCCACCTACACCCACAGCACGTACCACTGCAGGTAGTGGCACTTTTTACCCCTTTATCTGCTTCGTTTCCCTGAATATCTGCCCACAACAGGACAGCGGCTCCCGGGAAAACCCACACATTGGAGGATAGGGCTCTATGAAGATTTATTGAAAAGAGGTCTGGCCTGGCTCTCAGACCCCCTGGGGACAGTACTGTGGCCCATTTGCTCTGGGGTCCCTGGGGGGGGTCGCTGCAGCCCCTCTGTGTTGAAGTGGGATGTGGTGGGGGATGGTGGTTCCCAGGCCTCTTTCTGCCCGCCCCAGGTAATTAGCAGGCACCATCTCGGGTAGACAGATGCCTGAGCAGATGGTGCTGTTCATGCCCAAGTGACGAGTCTCCCATGGTGTCACCTCCCACCATAAACCCCTCCCCCATCAGCCAGAACCCAGTTCTCCCAACCCTTCACCTCCCAGCAGCTGCAGGGGTTTGAGGTGCGCCAGAAGAACTCACCTGATGACTGGTGGGCTTTCCTCAGTTGGTCCACCAGACCAGCCTCAGCCTTGGGGGGTCTGCCCTCTCTTGTCTGCACCCCTCTGTCTGTCTACATCGAAGCTGTTTGGTGACCCAGCCTCCTTTCCCAATCATTCAATTTGAAGCCTCTACCTGGATTTCCCTGTCCCCTGCCCTATTCTCAGTACAGGTGCAAGGAGGAGAGGAAGCAGGAGAAGCTACGCCTCCCACGCTTACCTGACCAGGTCCTTTAAGTCCCAGGCGGGGACTTTCTCAAGGTCCCCCCCACCCGCCCCTGCTCCCTCCTCTCCCTGGCTGTGCGTGGAGCAGCCCCCGGGCTTCTGGTGCCTCCCTGCAGCCAGGCCTGAGGGGCGTGGGAGCCTTCTAGCATTCTTGTGGGGGCTGGCCGCAGGCTTTGGCAAGAGTGGTTCGATTTCTTTGGTGTCACAAGAATGGAATTTCGTGGTGACTCCTCAAGGTCTGAGGACTGGAGGGGGTGGCCGACCAGCCGCTCCAGCTGGAGCGCTCCCCTTCCCCCAGACCTAAGGCTCACTCCAGGGACCCTCTGGCACAAACTGCAAACTGCTCATCTATGGGCTGGGGTAGGACAGGAAGTAGGGAGCTGGGGGAGGGGGCTGGGAAAGGGGGCCATCCTGGGTCCCAGCCTCAGGTAGGACCATGTCAACAGGCTTTGCCTTCCAACCCCAAAAGAGCTGCCTCAGCCTCAGCCATGGCCCTATGGCTTCTTCCCCCGCCTAGGTTCCCTGCCTGTATGGGCAGGATGATACTAACTTTTGGTACTGGGGTTTGAACTCAGGGCCTGCACCTTGAGCCACTCCACCAGCCCTTTTTTTGTGATGGGATCTTTTGAGAGAGGGTCTCACGAACTATTTGCCTGGGACTGGCTTTGAACCACAATCCTCCTGATCTCTGCCTCCTGAGTAGCTGGGATTACAGGAGTGAGCCACTGGCACCCGGCTACTATCCATTTTTTAAGGTGCCTATGAGCAGCTGGTTCTCAGGCCCAGATCATGGTTCTTCTGGGCACAGCCCCTCTACAGTCTCACTTGGGGCTTCTGACGGCTGGATGCCTGCATGGTGGACACCTGTCCTTTGAGTTAGGTTGGAGAGGTGACCAAGGGAAGGCCCTGCTGGCCTGTGGCAGTGTGGAGGGCCCGTCTCTCTTCTGAAGAGGCCATGTTGTGTGAGGTCCCCTTTCTTCCTGGGGTCTCCGGTTGGAGTCAGGCCCACTGGGTCCTGAAGACATGAGTTGGATTTGCCTTTGCCCTGGGGCCCTTGGGACTGCCTTTGAGTGGGTCATCTGCCTGTCTTCCCCCGTGTCTTGGGGCCCAGTGGCCTGCTCTCCTTCAGGCCCTGGGAAGATCTATGGAGACCCTAATGGGTGATCCATTAACTCAGCAGGAAGCCATGCAAGTCCCTCTCCCCTGCTGCTCCAGTGTCAAGGGTCCTGCTCAGTGTCCCAGGAGACGAGCCTTCTCCAGCTGGGAGGGTGGCACAGTCCAGAGGGAAGGCAGTTTTTGACTCTACAGCAAGGCGTGTCGGGAAGCTGGGGCTGGGCTCTTTTGTTAACTGATACATGGATACAGGCAGGTGGCAGGGCAGGAGTGTGCCAGGGGGGCCCAGTGAGACCCAGCCCAGAGACTTCTGGGAAAATCAAACAGTCAGGGCTGGCAGGAGGGAGGAGACAGGGCAGCGAGAGCCTCAACACAGCTGGCTCCCAGGAGTGGAGTGAGTGGGGCACAGGTGGGCAGCTGGCTCCCGTCAGCTGGGGTGGGCGCTGCCCAGAGGAGAGCAGGAAGCTTCCAGTGTGATGAGTGGGGCGCCCACCCCTCACCCCACCTCCGCCTGCTCCGCCTGGCACAGCACAACTTCACCACTGCTCACATGCTGGGTGGTCTTGGGCCAGTTCCCAGCTCACTGTGGGCTCAGGGTGTCCCTCTGCTCTGGGACGTGCCTGGTGCCTTTCACCCTTCTCTGCAGGCTGGCTAGGGGGTTGGCACTGTGCAGGAGTGCCCCCGGTGTGGACAGTGACCAGGCCCGTTAGCACTCAGACAACTTGTCCTCTGGCTAGGCAAGGCTTTGGAAAACACCCTGGCGCTGGGCTCTCTGAAAAGTTCCAAGTGCCACTTCCCCCAAAAGCTCTCCCCAAACCCGGTGTCACCCCCTCACCCTGGTACTGACCACATGAGGCTGGACCTGCCTGTTTGCCTGTCTCCCTCCTTGAAGATGGGGCGTCCTGCTCCTTGTCAGGGTACAAAGCAGGTGCTCAGCAAGCAATGGCTGGACAGGTGAGTGAGGGATGGGCGGGCGGACAACGGATGGATAGGAAGATGGAAGGACAGGCAGATGGGTGGGCAGATGGACACACGGATGGACGGGTGGGTGGATGGATAGATGGATGGATGGATGGATGATGGGAGGATGGAAGGATAGACAGATGGGTAGTTAGAGGATAGATGGGTGGACAGGTGGATGCACAGATGAAGGGATGGACAGACGGATGGATGGGTGGATGTGCAAATGGCCAAGGAGAGGCATGTGGCTGTTGGGGGAGGTGCTGGATACCTGCTTCATGGGGGCAGAGACTGTTGTTCACGGCTGCCCTACTACGCGCTTGACAGACGTGGGTCATGTTTGGATGGGTGAATGTGCGTCCATGCCTCAGTTCCCCAAATGCCAGGCCTGGGGAGCAAGTGTCCCAGGGTAAGAAGGCCTGGCAGGGCTGCCTGCTGACAGCTGGCAGAGGACACAGGCCTGAGGGAGGTCACGTGGGGGCCAGTGCTTGTGACAGTGAGCTGTGGCCCCTGCACTGGGAGCAGACCCATACCTGCCATGCAGTCCTCCGAGGGTCCCCTTCAAGTGCCAGGAATTCAGAGAGGAGGTGGCACACCCCGGACCCCACTGCAGAGGCAGGACCTCTTGGCCTCAGGGCCTAGGTTGTCCTCACCAGGAGGCCAGGCCTGGCAACTGAACCTCCTCCCCCTTCTCCTCCCCACCCAGTGACTTGGCCAGGGCAGCTGGGCTGCAGGCTGTTCTGGGCTAATCTGATTCACAGCCCCCAGTCGCACAGCCCAACCACTGGGATCCACTTACTGACATCCTGCACAGGCCAGACACCCACCAGGGAGACACCAGAGCCACCCTGCCCCAGCTGGCCTTTGTCTCCCCAAGAATGGCTGGTTTGTGTGGCTGTCACGGACTGACGGGCACTTGCGGGCCTGGCTGTACTGGAGCCTGTCCGACCCCAGGCATGGCCTCCCGCCCCAGTCACGACCCCGTGCCCAAGTCAGTGGGACAGTGGGAGCCGTGGGAGGGAGGCTCCAGCTCAAAGGGGACTCTGCTTACCAACGATGGGCACTTGCTGACCTCACGCTCCTCTGTAAAGCGCTGTGGCTTTGCCCTCCCAAGGGCGCGGTCACCCACGCTGCTCGGCAAGTACCCGGGGCCG